AGGAGAGTCTTTAGCTTTTCATCTCTAAAGGGTTTTTCAGCTTTGGATTTCCTGCTGGGACTTACTGTTGTTAGCAACCTCTTGTGTGGTTCTACGGCATGTTGACCTCTTTGAAACCTTTCCAGGTGTCACTGCCACTCTCTTGATCCCTGCAATCCAAGCTGCATTGTTTGGTGGAGTTACGTTCTGTGAACTTTAGAAATCCGCCCTGCGACTACGAATTGACTAACACCCAAGGTAGCATAAGCAGCAGACACAAATGTTCCTGAAACCACGCCTGCTGGGCAATGCAGGATGTGACTTGGAGCCTGGAAAAGAGAACAGTTTGCTCACTTGCGAGGCTATGACGACCTCCAGGTGCGGTTTGAAGCTAAGTGGCTAGTTTTTCTTGATCTTCAGATGGAAGCTCTCATTAGAACACACAGAATCTGTGATTGGGGACGGAAGGAATTCCATGAGAGCCCATGGGCCCAGTGAGGCCTCTGGCTTCCGAGGACCCTAAAACACACTTCCTTCAGCACATGTGGCTGTGGGAGAGCCACCGTGGTTTGCTGCTTGTTGTCATTTTTTTTTTTTTAAGAAATCTGATCTGAGTTTAGCCTAAGATTATAATGAACACAGCTTATTCTAAAATTTGTGTCCAGAGGCTGCAGTTACAGATTTAAAAGAAAAGAAGTTTAATAGACACCTGTCTTACTTATGTCTCCAGTTTGTCATTAAAAATTATTTGTTTTTGGTAATACAGTTAAGGCTTTGTAAGGGTTCCTACTTGGACTAAGAACCCCATTAGTCTAGCTTTAAAAGTGGAGTATTAGACAGTGATTTCCAAGCCCTTCTTCTAAAGCCTCACAGCTTGGCTATCCTAACAGGCAATTCATGCTGCCAAAACCTAGGAGAGTTTGACAACGTTTTGAAAATAACACTATACTGAGAATGAAAACAGATGGGATGCCAACTCTAACTGCTATCTTAGCTGAATATTTCTAGCTTTCTCCTTGCCTAAAAATATGCGTAAGAAATGACACAAAGCACACAGGGATACTGTGAAAACAAAATTAGTGATAAATACAAAAAGACCTTGGAAACGTGCAAGAGCGTTAACGTGAAAGGTGTGGAGGCCGCGGTGGCCGTCCATTCTTTCCCGTCGGCTTCCTTCCTCCCACCACTGTGTGCCCGTAACAGGAAGAGGGATCACAGAACAGCCAGCTCACACCACCGAGCCAGCTGTTCTCACCATCTCCCTTCCCATGTGGGCTCCTGTGTCCGGGGAACCCTGAGGGTCAACAGGCCATTGTCTGATAATTATTCACCTCACTGACTACAGATGAGAAGTTTTCTTACCAACCCTGGGGAACTGGAGGATGAAGCAAGGCTGGAAAAAGGTAAGATGCCTCGATGGGTCCATGACTCAGACAATACATTTTGAGAACAGATCAAGGACAGGACACGCTTTGATTTGGTTGCTGTGCCCCGACCCTGACCCCCTCAGGAAAGCTGACCATTCTCCGGTCGGTCCCAGGAACGGGCCGAGCTGGCTATAACATCACAAATTAGCCACCTTATCGGATTCTGAGCTCCTGAACTGCAGGA